AACTACTTAACCTAATTGCTTGACCTTATGAATGTAGTGAGTCTATTCAGTTTTTATGGTTGAAACGTCTAATAAGCATTTGTTTGTGTACGTGGGCAGTTTATGGCTGAAACTCACATTCCGCGATGTTCTCGCTGCCATGGAATGTATCCAATGATGACACAGTCGTGCGTGTTATCATTATGAAGAAAATAAAATCAGAGACACTAATTGCTTTAGTGACTGCATGTGAAAACTGTATCCAGACGTTCACGTTAACATTGATCAGAATTTGGTGGTACTTTGACTACCCAAGCAAGATAAGACAATTGCTTTCCGATCAGGTTACGTCGGCATGGCATGTCAGAAACATAGCTAACGGCATTAGTTAAAACGTTAATCACAGTCGGATCAAATAATGGGTTATTACACACCCGGCCAATGAGCACGTGAACGGTGCTGGCACAGCGGTTAAACATACGCACTCATCAAAGTGGAGGATGGTCAGACAGGGTGGCATCATGCGACTTGAGTACTAGACAATATACCCGCCTCCTCCCCGGCTGCAGTGATTATTTCTAAACAATTGATAATCAGCACTAACTAGAAGGGAGTTTGAGGCATTAATTGTGCAGCAAGCCTCGACAACGAACTTATTTGGGGGCTATTGATAGGAGGAGGTCAAGGAGAGAGTGTATTCTGTTTAAAATAGACGTAGAGTTAAAAAGCATCGCAGTGCATTCGGAATGCATGACTGCTGCCTTACATAAGATAAGTCCATTCTTTTAACAGTAGGGCTTTATACGCTACACAATTTATCGTATGATCGGCCCGATAGATTTTTACGCCGATGTACAAAACATACCTGCCTATTCTTTACATTAACGATATAATACCCCTTTCATATAATTCTTCTTTTCTATATTCTTCCTTATTTCCTAGTTGGCCACGAATGGGCTGATCTCCTGTGGTGACGGATTACAGCTTCCAGATTATAAAAGACGTTACCTATGCAAGGCAAATTGCCACCAACTGTCTGGCGTATAAAAAAGTGCCATAATAGAATGATCCGCATGACGGACTGGGCTGAGCCTTCATGGCCCATAATACATGTTCAAAAGCAGCTCTAAAATGAACAAAACATATGATATACAGGTGATGGCTCATATGCTACTATGCCACACCGGCACACGGCCAGTTATTGCATGGAAGTGCGAGCGAAACCTTTCGAGGGAATACCTTGCATGGAAGCAGGTCCCCTGGGGATGGTTCCACGAGTGGCCGTATTATTTTAACTGGACATCTGTTTAAATCTGCTTACGTTATTGTTCCTGCTTTTTAATTTCTTTAATGCCCTTATCCTGCCAATTAGTTTAGTACCTGTTTTGGATCCATTGTAAAAAGCGTGAACAAATTGATTATATTTTTTGCGATCCTGTTGTACACATTGATCAGACCACATAGTTGGACTGCACCTCGAAACACCGAGGAATATAACATTTATTTATTTATTTACCCTTTCATATCGTCGGCTTCGAGTTGATCTCATTATGACGCACCGGATAATGCATATGGCCCACTTCCCTATGTTGAGGCCGCTACTGCAATTTCACGCACCTAGCAGCAAACGCGGACAACAGTACAAAATAGTGCTACCGGGTTTAAAGCGCATCGCTCACCCTCTATGCTTCGAGCATCGAGTGGTAAACTAATGAAACGAATTGCTGGAGATGCACTCAAGACGAAATCGGTGTCAGAATTTAAGTGATTCCTCGATACCCAGTTTGCGGACTACAGGTGTAGGGAGGGTATTGCACCCGGATCAGCGACGTGATTCCGCGTACCTGCCCGATCCCCCTATGATGGAGCAACACAGATTTTTATCTTCTCGCTCTCGATTCTCAGTATTCAGTATTGGGTAAAACTATTAACTTCCTTTTTTAATTAACGTCTTTCGATAACCCACGACTACCCAACGGGGCTTGTAAAGTAGTGCTTCTTAACCCGTTTACAATAACTGTTCATTGATGAGGACAATTCTATGGTTTATAATCACTGCTAAAGCATAATAGTTTCCTGAACGATAGGGTCTGTGCACCCCAGCACAACACAGTCCGCTATTTCCATGAAATAAAAGGGGATTATATTGGGGAACGCTAGACGGATAAAGCAAATAGAAAAGGTAAAAGGATCGCTTCCCGCAGTCGATAGGGAGACCAGAGGATCTCTTGCGGTTAAATTGGGTGACGTGAATGTGCTTCGAAAATTAGTCACGCAACAGATTACGCACACCCGAACGAACTCCGACCTCGGGAAAGAAACTAAGCAATGTTGCTTTGTCAAGGCTGCCTAAATTACTTGCATTATCAAAAAAAGAGGCCATATCAATATATACGGTTGATACAGTACGGATGCTATGAAATGAAATACGAATGCTACTGCAGCCAATGTGAAACGCTGAAGTCTATAGTCAAATTGACAAATATCGTCAGCAGCGTTGGCTGTGAAAATCCACGGTATAAGAATGTATCGGAATGAAATTCCACCGATGCTTAAAGCGACCGTATTGCTCTACTGGTTTGTAGCATCGGTCTCTCAGATCGACATCGTAGCGGCTTGAAGAGGTGAATATTATCAATTAATATTGGGTAAATCATTGCAACACCACCACCAATCTCCCTACACAGATGAACAGGGGTTCATATGTGAGCAAACAAGTGTTGCGCCAAAGCACTTGCTGGAATCCCACGGGCTGTTTCTCCAAAGTGAGGGAAGCATTCTCCTTTGTCTCAAGAAGTATGCCATCGTCGGGATGGAGACAATTTCATTTTAGCTTCTTATCGCGATTGTGTCTGCGCAGGTGTTGTGTGATCTCAACTAGATCCGGTGAATGAGTGTTTTAGGCAATGGCTTGTGGACTATCCATAAAATGTTTATGTCTGAAAATAACTATCCCTCACCGTTGAAATTATTCCACGGTGATCCGGCGACGTAAATTTGCGCTTTGAAAGTATGTAGACATCTAACTGAATTTCTATGACGTCGTGTTACATAAGCTGACGTATACAATTTTCAAATTGCCATCATGATTTGGTCAGATACGGACAAGCGGGGAGATAATCTTGCTGAATTGTGCAAAGCAACCACACGTGGCCAGCGGTTGCTGTGCGCCTGTTGTTCACGGGATGCTAATTTTACAACATTTTCCCCATTGACTTGTCAGGATTCCTGCAAAAGCATTGAAAACTGGTAACTAGCACGTCGAATTGCTACAACTCGCGTTCGGTCAAATAAACACGTCTGTTTCCAGACAGATGCTCAATGCGTATGTTCGTCCCCATGTCGAATACGCCATCAAAACGCAGCAGCCATGGTTGAAGCACGACCATGCTGCGTTGAACCAACCTCAGCGTTGGGCTTCCAAATGCATCACCTTCCATAGAAGCAAAGGCTGAAACCTTTAGGAGTATTCAGCGGGTGGTATCGCCGACGGCGAATGGAGTTGATTATGTCGTACTTGATCTCACACAATCCAAATAATGTGTACCGCTCTTTACTGTAACTCTGTAGTAACTCCAAACTAGAATCCACTCCTTGAAATTAGCAGACACGTACAGCCCTCTAGAGTACCATAGAAATGTTTTTTCCATTCATGTATCTTAATCATGAGACGCTCTCCCTGAATCGGTTGTTTGTATATGTGCACTGGCCATATTTACAAATCGGTTGGATGACCCACTCCGTCACTTACATTTTGTTACTTGACGCTACTCTCCATCCTATTCCCGGTAATTACATTGGATTTACCTTTCTCACCTACGGAAGCTGCGGAAACACTCGGAATGCAGGGCGCCTGCGTTCCATACGATAAGTCCATACTTTTGACAGTAGAAGTAATAACTGCATTTTCTTCCATTACTCTTTTTCGATTACCCACCAGACCACCTAACTGGACTTGTAAAGCGGTGCTTCTTAACTCTTAGAAAAGCATTGTCCATTGTTCAACTTGCACGCGGATATGGGAAATGCAATTTAAGCTTAGCAACACCGAGAGAATATTGTTGCCTTATGCCAATCCGTGGTTCCAGCACACGCCGTGGTATTTGACCGCCGATAGAATCGATGCCTCTTACGTACACCAGATAGCGTCTGTTAAATACCAACAATCGTTCATCCACATTTTGTATGAAGTCTTACTGCTACATTTGATTACATAAGAGTACAAATTGGTCTGTTGAAGAAAGAACAAATTGACGGAAAATCTCAACTGGAAGCCCCAGCAGTGGGGCGCGTGTCTGAATGACTTCCTAAACGTTGACAAAAATTCCCCGTAATCCGGCAAATATCGACCCCTTACTTGAAACAGTTAACCTTTTCATTTAGCCATCTATTTTTTCCCTCATCTCTCGAATGGAGCTTCATGCATGTGAGTTACTTCGCATTTAACCCTTTACCTCTTTTATTTATCTAGTTGGTTTTATTACCACAAATGTGCTAGTCTTTGTTGTTTGGGTATCTTCACTAAGATGCCTGAAACTTAGTTGCTTAGCCAAATCGAATACCTGAACTATACGAGGCCTTATGCACTCAGTAACTCGGCCAAAGACAAAGTGATTCGCAGAGCAGCAACGGTACTTCTACAATAATTTTGAAGCTGCTATTGAGGACGGTACTTGTGCCGCATCCGGATTTTGACGCTGAAAAACCACGCTTGCTCTGCCATACAATTCATTTGGTGCTTATTTTATCTACCTGTCTCTTCTACTGGTTATGAAGACACCGGCCATGTTGGATAGTTATCGTAATTTAGCTGTTACTACCACTTGTTGTGATTACCAACAGTTTAAGCGCACTTAATCCACTGCATAGACCTGTCAGATGTAACAAAAACTGCATGTTCCATTGAATCATGACCCTGATTGAAACACCTTGCCATAATCCATGTAGGCAATGAGTGCTTTAAAATGAACCCTTCATTGATTGTACGCCTAGTTTGCTTTGCTTCCTACATATCTCGCAAGGTCGTCGGTGGTCTCGTCGATGGAACTGTTTGCCTTTGGGATTTGAATGTGTCATCCTTCGATGTGCTAAATACTGGAAATCTAATATTTGACTCACACAACTTCTGCCTGAAACCACCCCTATACTCGACATGTGGCACAGATGATTACCGGCACTCTACGAATCTCGTGAAACCTAATGCTCTGGGCAACGCCATTGATAACACATCCAGAGCTCCCGAATGTGACACAACACAGCATCTTGCCCCAATTGTGGATCTACAGCTCACACTGTGTGCGAAAGACAAATCGGTGGAGTCTACCTTCCAGTTTACAGTTCTGGACGCGTTCGGGGGAATCAGCCTGTGGATGGTTGTAAACAATGTGCATAAAACCAGTGGCAACATCTACGATATGATGGCCGGCTCCCAATCAGACCTTGGACTTCGTCCCTCCGACCATGTTGTGCAACTTATTCAGCTGATGCGCATAACCACGAGGACACCGCTTGTTGAAGTAAGTTAGCTTAGCTGATCCGATCATCAGCATCATTATCACCATTATCAATACACGATAGCTGCGGATGAAAAACACACCTCAGCAAATGTGCCGCAAGAAAAATAATAAGATACTAAAAAGGTACACTACACAGACTAAAAAGTAAGCACTATGAGGTTAAATATTCTATTATGCATTTGTAATGAGGTCGTTATTGGAGGAGGAATCTAAAAGAGAGGGGGATAGACAAAGAACCAATACCCAAAGACCGCCGGTGCCGACTCTTCACCATCTCAGCAAGTGTATCCAAGCAAAGGTGTTCATTGTCCTTTGGACCCCAGTCAGACAGTCGGAACGCACCAACGACGCCAAGTTCGAAGTTCTACCAAGTCATCGCATGGCCTACCCCCTCCTATTCCAACCGCACGCGCGACTCGCAAACAACGCAAGTCGCGAGAGTCGATGTGCTTGCATGCACAACCCGTGGCCCAGCCATCAGAGCTTGGTGCGTGATATAATGGTGCTGAGCGGTTCACTCGCTCTTCCTACACCAAATACGCGACGCCGCACACATTCATTGCACACGCGGTGCTCCCACTGATCCGACGATGCTCAACTTGTATGCGTCTCGCACCCTTGATTAGACTGGTATAAAGTTTATAATTATGCCGCAAATACTGCAAATATATTGTACGCTTTTTCTCACTTGTGTGACCAGTGTGAGGTTAGCTGTGCTCCTTATCAACAGACCAACTAGACTGACATGTTTTGGATTCGATTTATTCGGTAAAACAACAGACCTACTTACAACAACGTAGTAGTATAAGAGAGGAGAAATTCTCTTTGCTAAGATTGCGGCGTCCTTACAGGTTTCTATCGCGTGCGTCAATATCTGATTGGTTGTGTGACTAGTGGACAGCAGAGTTCATGTTACCATCCGACAAAATACGTTTTGAAATTTAACTGGCATTAATTCAAACGCCAATATAATTTGCGGTTTCTCCTCTTCGTTATCAAATGTATCAAACAGTTCTCACCGGAAGACCCATGAAGAAGATGGTCGCAAATTAGTCAGTTTGAGTGCACTAACGACGTAAACTCGTTCTGCACATGGCTTGCGTCATAAGGAGACAAATTACAGCTTGATCCGGGGTGCCGTTGCCAACATCGGTGCTAAGTCTTACAGTTGTTCGTCACCTGGAGTCATTAGAAACCCGACGTTAACTGTCTGGTTTTAGACAGCCCATTTTGTGTTTCGATTATTATGCGTTCACTCAGCCGCCGTGCTAGCGATCAAAATGACAGCAATCAAGAGTTAGGTTCCCCGTTCTACTTTTAACTACCAAGGTAACACTGAAGATCTCTCGACTTGAAATTTACTTGCGAGTTATCACCACTGAAGTGACATAAAACGTACGAGATATATGTCAACTTTCTATCACAGTCGATTAGTATCCATCACCGTTTCTGAGTTCCTCTGTCAGCGTTTTCTTGGCCGTAGCCGATTGGCCAAGTCGTGTGACTTACAACACAAATGTTGCCTGCTTTAGTCTGAGTACGTTCGGATGGCTTCGAAGTGTCAGCTTGCACGCGACTGCTATGGGTCGCTTGATAGCGAATCGTCGATAGGATGTTTTGCTGATGCCTTCTCTCTTTTTTGTAATGCGCGTTAATTCGAGACATTCATTAGGTAACCATGAAGGCATCTCATGTGCCTATCAGCCAATTAGTTGATTTTTGTACTATTCACGATTTATTTGGAATTGTGTACGCGATTTCAGCTTGGCCCTCCATTTACTCTACGGTGTCTTGCACACTTACTGCCTGTATGATATTGCATCCCTAGCCCTTCTGATACATCTCACAAGTACTAACGTCATGAGGTTCCTGGAGCAAGCCACGCCGGCTGCAGTAAAGGGTCGCTGCTAAGGACCGTAGCGAGGCAAACAAAGAGTAAGGGGTCACGCATCGAGGTAATTCAGGCTCTCAGTCAGTTACTTTATGCCGTGGCATCTGTTCGATATTTCACCTTGTGGCTTCACCGAACAAGGATGGCTTCGGTCAACCAAAGCCACCGAGTAAAGTACTAGCCGGATGTACGAAAAACACGATCTCATCAGTTTGAAAGATTCCAGTGCAGTTGTAGGGAAACGTACGCCATGTTGTCAAAACAAAAGGAATAGAACCGAAAACCTTTCCTGTTTATCTGTTCGCAAATATCTGCCCACAGAAACGTAAACGGATTTCCCTCCAAGCTAGGGATCTAATCAAGAAATCTAATTTGCACATCAAGATCATAGCTAGAGTCGAATTAAATTTTTATCAGCATACTAACCTCTGTTATGTTGATTTTTCTAGTACAAAATGTGTACATAATCCTATTATTTATCCGACAGCATTTAGTTTTAACCCCAAACACTCGTGTCAACGAAGAGAACATCGCAACGACATCAAACTATCGCGATTTGGAACCCGTCGTAAGATCAGCTGCACGGAGCTCAGCGGTGTTTGCGACCGTTCTCGCTGTGACTGGGTCAGGTAACTTTCTCATCGGTTTCACTGATGGCAGTCTTACACAATGTCCTCGGTCTTCTGGTTATGCAATCTTTCCGGAGCGCTTTGCCAGACCAAGAAACAAGGCTTGCCTTTTTAGTCTGGCTGTCAATCCAGATAGGTCAAAAAATTTGGCAATCGCAGGTAAGCCTGATCAGCTTTCGTCAGCTCTAAATATAAGTTTATAAATATAATATCTGCGCATTGATCGAATGGAAGAACTCCAAGCATATCCATATGATATTTTGGGATGCACGAGTCATGTCGTTATTACACAATCCACGTACCTTACTGCATGTAATATTGTCTGAACCACGGTCTTTTTCCTTAGACTGAATTAGAAAAGATTCTCTGACAAACCCTCCTGCATTTCATTACACTTAAGCTATCCCAGAATTTACATTTCCTCTCCTATCGGTTGGATAAGTAAAGCGACACTTTTACTGCCCTCAGTCATCGCACAATAACTGTTCTAATTTGCAACGAAATGTCTAAATTTATTGCATCTTGCACAGTTACCGGCGATTTACACCTCTGGTGCTCAAATGAGGTAGGACAATGCGCATGTTCCAAAATGGGATTACGACAAGCTTATAGAACCAACATAGTTTCCAGACACATTAGTAGGCTGTTTTTAAATCCACGTCGAGTTAATGTGCATTAAAAGCCTGTGATTAACCATTTACTAGTTGTAGACTTTTACAAGCCATCTTTTGGCCAACTGCCGTTTGTAGCCAGGTGCAGGGAGTGCGCTGTACAAATTAATGTGCCAAATCTGGCATTTTTTATACGGAATAAAGAGAAGATACACCGCAAACGCCAGAACTAATAAAATGTGCTATTAACGGAGCTGCGAAGCACCACGCTTTGCCAAATATGCTTTTTCACCTGAAAGCATTTCGGCAACACAGTCCCTAAGATAATTTCCAAAAGCCAATTGAAAATGCAAAATTGCCGACTATGGGCGTCGTCGATTCAGTACGCTTCATACAAGACTTTCTGTTCACAAACTTCAAAACAGTAAGAAGAAACAACATTTTAACAGGATAATCTGAAGTCAGGTATTTCGCTTTTTTTGTCTGTTGTGCAAAGACAATCTGCGGAATCAATACGTTACACACAGACACAATAGTTAGACAAGGGTGAACTCGTTCTGTTTAAATAAAACTAATCGATAACCTCACCAGCACCAGACGATAAGAAGTTACAAACGCCATCTGCTTACATCAATTGGGTTTCAATCAATGAATCCTGAAGCCTCTGCGCGATGAAGCAGGCGATCAGTACTCTGTCGATTAATGATCTTGAACTATTCCCACTGGTGCTGTCACGTGAGGCAATCAAGGATATACTCATGCGTAGAGGATTTTGATGTAATTAAGGAAGATTCATCGCAGCCAGTTTCCAAATCAGCATGAGTACATCAAAATATATCCGCCCTGACAGTTTCTAAATGCTACTGCTAGTGGACGTCGTGTCTTTCGGGTCCAACTCTGTCCTCTGTAACGTTCGTAACTTGCATGGCAGTGGAGGATAAGACGCGCTATATCGCAGTTAGCTTGTAAATCATGACGGTCCGAAGCTGTCCCCCGTGGCCCAGTGGCATAAGCTGCTGACTGGCGGTCCAAGCCGCTGGTGGGTATGCGTTCGAATCCTGATGGATCTGATGGACGCGCACTACTGACGATGCTCAACAGGCTGAAACTGCATCTAGTGCTTTTCCGGGCATGTGGACGACTATCTGATTTGAAAACTGGCTGCGATGAATCTCCCTTAATCAAGGATATGCTTGGCGAAGAAGCCAGCGGGCAGCTTAGGGTCGTTTGCCACCAGGTTACATGGGACATGTTCTGGTATGCTCGTGGACAGCCACATCACAGCTCATCCTACGCACTTGCTTGCACTTTGGTCACTAGTACCAATAACCCGATTGTGGTCGGATAAAAACAAGTTGACTGAGCCGCCCACTTTGCTTAAGCCACAAAAATAAAGCCCTCAGCCTTCTTTTATTAAACATTACCTTGGATTAAGTGCAAAATGTAAACCTGCGTTATAAAACACCCGGCTTTGATGGTCTACCTCCTGCTATGTTTAAAGATGGTGGCTAATCGCTGGTTCTGGAACTCCACGCTTTGTTCTTAGAAGTCTGGTTTAAAGCGGAGGTTCCATTGTCTTGGGGTGAGTCGATAGTCGTCCCAATTTCCATAAAGAGCCTGCGCCAATGTGCTGCAAGTGCAGGGGCAGAATTTTGATTCCCGTCGTCTGCAAGCTTCAGGTGTTCATCCTATTTCGCGAGCTATCTCCACGGCGGGAATAAGAGACTTAATTCCGCCCTGCTCTTGGCTGTATAAATCAACCTTTCAGACTCCGCCAGATTCCCGAACTCCAACATATGTATCAACAGCCAAGGATTATCGTGTTCCTGTGTATCCATGCTGTCTTCTTTTCTGTCGACAAGACTGCGTTGTAGCAAATTGTTGAGGCGTAGCGTCCAAAGAAGTACGGTTCTGCACTGCGTGCTAGGTACATTCTGACCTTCGCGAGGAGTTAGGGCTTATGTCAAGCTTTCGCCTTTCTTTGTTGTCACCAGTAGGGTTCGACAAGGATGCCTTATCTCTCCATTCCTCTTCAACTTTGCCATTGATGATGTCCTCAAAAATACGCTAGAAGCAATGTTGAACGCTGGCATTGAGCTCCTTCCAAGTAGTCAACTGGTTGATTTGGTTTATCCCGATGATATCGTCTGGTTGGAAGACAGTCCGCAGGCCGTTCAACTTGCACTCAACCACTTGGCGATTGAAGCGTCGAAGTATAACACGCTTTTTTCACTATCCAGGTGCAAAGCACTTTTGCAAGACTGGCATACGCCATTACCTGCTCTCACCATTGATGGTGAGAAGCTGGAAGTTCTACAGATTTTAATCTGCCGGGGAAGCTGCATCACTGTTGGTGGGGCTGCTGGAAACGAGGTTTCGAAGCGCATCTCAAGAGCTCGCCTCATCTTCTCCAGACTGAGGCATTTTTTGCGCCACCATGACATCCGTCACTTCATCAAAGGACGGGTTTATGGCGCGACCGTCCGCGCTTTACTGGTGTACGGTTGCGAGACTTGGTCTGCTCGTAACGATGATCTACGTCGGCTGACTGTCTTCGAGAACCGTTGAATGCGGTCATTCGTCCGCGTGTGGTGGTTGCACCACGTAACCAACCTTGAAGTCAGACACCGTGTCTTGCATGGAGACTGCCGCTCCCTCGAGGCGCTTCTCTCGCTGAGCCAACTACGACGGCTCGGACAAGTACTGTGTAGGCCCGCTCAGCGTCCTCCGCGTCGTGCCTTGTTCGCGGTCACTGGACAAGGTTGGAGGAGGCGGTGTAGTGGACAGCCTACAACTTGGAAAAGCAGGATACAGAAGCTGACAAAACAGCTGGCTTCGGTTAGTTCATCTCGACTCCCTAGATCCTGTCTAGGTCTGGACGCCCTGGCAGTATCTCAGCCCACATTCAACCATGAGATTTTCTCCAAACATAAACTTCATCTTGCATCGGCCGTCGCGCAGATTATCAGTGGTCGGCTTAGCTGCTGCATGCAGCAGGGCGGATAAACGAAAACATGCTACTGCTGGCGCCTCCCTTCTTTCTTTTCCACCTGTTTCTCTTACTCCCATCCCGTGCCCCATTACTAACCTTCCTTCCATAGTTCCCATCTTAATTGACAGCAACCGAAGTGCCACTGGAGTAGAACCATCTGCAGCCACCATCCCACAGCACCTATCGGAAGCCTTTCGGCAAAAATCCCTTATAAAGCCACGCTATCCCCGTTCCATGGCGACATTCAACGTTCGCACTCTAAGACACACAGGTCAACAGGCTGCACTCACACGCACCTTGGACACACTGGGTATTGATATACGTTATGTGTCCGAAACTAAGATCAACGACCCTAAGAGGGTTGTTGAATTGACTGCACCCGGCTTATCCTCTCGTTATTGGTTGCACGCATCTGGAGACGCCGATGCAGCACTCACAGGTCAAGCTGGTGTAGGTATCATTCTAAGCTCCAAGGCTGAGCCATTATTGGTTGATTGGGTTCCGCTGAACAGCCGTTTATAGGCAGCCCGTTTGAAGACATCAGCTAAGGATGATTCAGGAGGTAGTGCAAAACGCTGCTTGTTCGTGATTTCCGCTTATGCGCCCACCGACTGCAGTTCTAATGCTGTCAAGGACACATTCTATCACGAACTGAACGCGCTACTACGCAGTGCTACTAGTTCAAATATTATAGTACTTGCAGGGGATATTAACGCACAAGTATGGCGTCTGAGCTCTGTAGAAGCTCAGTTGGGTGGTAATTGTGGGCTTAACTCCGAACGGGCTGGCAACGGTGAGCGTCTGCTGCAACGGTGTGCGGAGCACCATTTGTTTCTTAGTAGCACTGCTTTTAGACACAGTGGGCGCCGAAGTGCCACTTGGCGTCCTCCTGTAGCTGGTCAACGATGGACCCAAAATGACCACATTGCCATAAGTTACAGATGGCGTGATTCCATCCTGGATTGCTGCTTGTACTAGAGTACCTGTGTCGACTCTGATCGTACCTCACTACGCTGTCGTTTCTCCATGAACTTTACCGGGAGACGAACCAAGCGTCCCCTACGATTGGCAACGGAGAAATTGTCTCAGCCCTGTGTCAGGCAAGCCTAGCAAGACGCACTGCGTACCGAACTTTCACTGTCTTGTTCTAATGACACTGAGCTTCGGTGGAATAGGATCTCCACCGCTATGCGTGACGCAGGAACATCTGTTTGTGGCACTATCAGTCGTCACTGCACCAGTCACTGGATATCCGAGAGGTCGGTGAACCTGTTGGAATCTAGAAGACACCTCCCGGCTGGCTCTGAGCACAATGGTACCAGACGGGCTATTAAGCGTGAAATAAAGCAGAGCCTACGGGCTAACAAGGAAACCTGGTGGACCAGTAGGGTTCAAGAAATGGAGGAGGCAGGAGCAGTAGGCAATTACCTCAAGCTCTTCTAGCTAATCCGCACCACTGGTCCCAGGAAACCAGGCGTCAGTGAGACAATCAGAGACAGCGCGGGTGCGCTGATACACAATAAGCAGCGCCGTATGACTCGTTGGGCGGAACACTTTCAAGATCATTTCAGCTGGCCCCCTGCTCCCGGAGCTCTTCCGACTCAGGTGATGCTGGACGAGCCATGGACGGTTAGTTTAGAGCCTCCGTCAGAGGCCGAGGTCCGAAAAGCGATCACATCCCTCAATCGTTTCGGGCCGCTGGCCCGGATTCTCTCCCACCTGCACTATTTCAGACTGGAGGTGAGGTCCTCTGCAAACACTGCGCTCCCTATTCGAACGTATCTGGAAGGAAGAGAGTGTCCCGGCTAATTGGGGCGAATCGATTATAGTGGCAATATACAAGAAGGGCAGGCGCACAGACTGTTCTAACCACAGGGGTATTAGCCTAACGCCAGTTGTGACAAAACTATTTGCCTTGATTCTCCATCGTCGCCTCACTGCGGAACGGGAATCTCGGATTAGGGAAGAGCAGGCCGGATTTCGCCCAGGACGTGGCTGTATTGACCATATATTCACTTTGCGGTAGGTGCTAGAGCAGCGCCCCGCATACCGCAGACCGACAATAGCTGTGTTCCTCGATTTCAAGAGTGCGTTCGATTCGATCGATCGATCGATTCTGTTCGAAATACTTGCGCAGAAAGGTGTTCCCAAGAAATATGTGAACATCCTTTCGTGCTACATACTCGAACACTGCAGGCCGCGTCAGGGTTTACGGTGTCCCATCTGATAGCTTTCCGACCACAAGTGGCGTTCATCAGGGTTGTCCGAGTTCCCCATTCTGTTCAATTTCTTCGTGGACTCTATCATGGAGTGTTCCCTTGCGGAATCTCACGATGTAGGCGTTGAAGTGCTGCCTGGTGAAAGGTTAGATGATCTAGATTATGCGAACAATATCGTCTTGCTTTTCCACGATGTTGGGGCGACCCAATCAACCCTGAATAGACTGTCCAGAGTGGTCCCATTATTTGGTATGCACTTCGCACCTTCAAAGTGCAAAGTGTTGCTGTAGGACCCCCGGCCACTTGATGACCCCTTGACGCATGCTAACGAGGAACTAGAGGTGGTTGATCATTTCACTTATCTTGGCAGCTGCATCAGCAATGATGGGCGCATAGAAACTGACGTCAGCTCACGCATTGCAAAAGCCTGAGCTACCTTCTTGAACCTGCGGCATCTTTGGCGACAGAAGGGAGTTTCCCTCCGTCTGAAAGGCCGTGTATACAAGGCCACAGTGAGGGCCGTTCTGCTGTATGGTAGTGAGACTTGGCCCCTTCGGTCTGAAGATCTGAGGCGCATTCAAGTCTCTGATCATCGTTGTTTGCGAAGCATTGCTGGAGTCGGATGGCACCAGCGTGTCCGCAACGATGATGTGCATAGGCGAGTACTAGGTGGTGATAAGCATGCTAGCTCCCTAGAACAACAGATAGCACTGAATAAGTTGCGTTGGCTCGGGCACGTGCTACGTATGCCTGGTCACCGCTTACCTAGGAGGGCCTTGTTTAGTCTGCCAGGTGTAGGGTGGCGCAAGGCTCGCGGTGGACAGAAGTTGACTTGGCAACAGGAAATGAAGACACTGACGACCAAACTGGGTGCCGTTGGTCCTTCTCGCCTTCTGGGCTGGAGTCCACGTGACTCGCCTTGTGCTTGGCTCAAGACTTTACAGGACGTAGCTCGCAGCCGACACCAGTGGCGCGTCTGCTGCCGTCTCCTAATCGGATTGCCTGTTTAAAGTGTGTTTGGTGCTGATTTATCTGCGGGGTAATGGCTGATTATGACGTGTGGCAGTGAAAGCCGCAAGGAAGCTGTCTCACCGATGCCGCCTTATCTTTGCACGATAGCCAGCTGTTTGTGACGGTATGTTGTCTACGCAAAGTGCAGGTGCCTTGACCCTGAATGTTTGCTTAGGGCATAAAGGTTTTCAGGTAAGTCCCCCTTCTCTCCCTCTTCTTATTCTTTATTTCATAGGCCCTCATGGTTGTATGGTAGGGAAGCATCAGTTCAAATGGCTGGTGTACTGCTGTTGATGATGATGATGATGACTCCGTAGATGTGGTTCCAAAGATACTGTTTGCCGCTGGTTGGAAACACTGGAAGCCAGGACTCAAAACCGAATTCCGTGGCCGGCGTGTATTTCTGCTTGTTGTGGGTGTAAGTTGTTCATCTCTTCCAGAAGACTTTCGGCGGCATTAATGTTGGGGGCGATCATTGGCGTATCGTCAACTATCGTCTGTAAAGACAAATCTGGTATAGGTGTGAGTCACAGGATGTTTCAACCATTGACATGAACATGTCTGATAGCGTGGGACCGAGTGCACTTTCCATTGCAACGCCGTTCAATTGTCGGTAGGACTCACCTTTGAATAATAAAGGTACATTCTATGTGCATGACAGAATTTAATCGTTTAGATTTCGACGGGTGCCGGCAACGCCACTTTTTTATTCTTCACGAAATAGCGTAGGTATTCCATCGTCTCTCTTATTGCGACCTTAGTACAAAGGGACTAAACATCCAATGAACACTACTGTATCTGCAATGTTCCTAATTCCTACATGTTCCATCAGTGCGTAGGTCTCTTTGAGAGTGTGGTTCACGATCATTTGTCTCACTGGCACTAGTACCCTGACTAACTACCTGGTCAGTTTAGGATACGGAGAATTATTCATGGACAATATCGGTTTAAGAGGCATGGCTACCCGACAAGATTTATTAACTTTCACGGTTGCACGACGGATGGGAACAAACAGAAGCCCCCTACAGTGTCAAAAATGCTCGTCTATCTCAAATTGCCATTCAAAGGGTATGATGTGGCTGCGCAAGTCGAGCAGCGTGCTACCACAGTAATTCGACGTACATTCAATGCTGCAAAACTGTGCCCATTTTGGACAACCAGTAAGTTACCAAAGCCTCCGGTTAAGCTTACGCAATCGGTCTCTTCCATAACACATTGCATTTACAACTTTGTCTGTAACTGTAGAGGCAGTTACATCGGCAGTACAGACCGGTGTCTGCGTAAGCGGATCGGTGAACACATCCTGAAGTGGGTTGCTACAATTGTGGTGAAACAGTCGCAGGGACAAGAGTCAAGTCCAAATTGCCGGCCTCTTCGATAACCATACTTCTACTTAAAACGGGGCACCAAATTGATTCTAACTTGGCATTTAAGGTTTTTTATTGTCATGAAAACGCCAAGATACTCAAGCTCGCTGAGGATTTGGCAATTAATCACAGCCGTCCGGACCTATATGCGCAAAAAGAGTTGTCACCCTCAAACATCCTTGGGGATGGTGGAACTTGTCACAAAATTTATGATTCTGTTAGATTTTATGCCCTTATGTTTCTTCTGTTCCCCTTTCGACACCATACAAATCATTAATTTTCCCTTTGGTGATCGGTAAATATGGCAGGCGTGCATGTCAGCAGAAAATGCGAAATGATATCCTTTTGAAACACCCGTCTTCTCTTTGCATTATATAGCAACAAATGTTCTCTTTCGGTTGTTCTCGACTCCATGAATAGGAGCCTGAGATACGGAGTGTCGCAGGTCGAAACCCCCTGAAATTTATGCCCTCAGACTGAGGCCTGTGGCACACGTGTTTCTCTGCGTGCTGCGATGATTCTCTTTTCCTCCCCTAAAGAAACCAACTGTTAAATAAACTATAAATATTGTAGTGGAAATCGGACAAAACTTTTGCCCGTTTTTGTTTACTTTGGTCATGTTTTCCTATTCAGCTATGATTTCGGCGACGCACAACCTGTACCACAGCTTGTGATACATATATATATATATATATATATATTGCAAGCCCTGATGTTCAGTATTAGAATTACTGCAATGTAGTTCTGCTCAAATGTTTAGCAGGAATTTATTTACTCAACTGGTTAGATGAGACTCCAAACGCAAGTTATGTTGGCACTCAAGTAAAGGGTAAGCAGTTTTTGAATGCTGTGATTTTCCTGTTCAAGGTTCCATTTAAAGGCACTCCGTTTCGGTTACTTATTAAGGCAATACCAATGAAAAGCAGGTTTATTCCTTCCGATTGACTGCAATAACTCCTCTCTACATCCTTGTAGGTTACGCCGATGGTATTGTTCGGTTGTACCAACTAAACAATCCGTGCGCTTTGCAACAATGGAATCTTTCTGTCTGTCGCATGGAAATGCTCGCAGTGACCCGGTTATGCTGGTCCGACAGTGCTCCATCGATATTCTTCAGTCTTGACACATCCGGCCGACTAATGATGTGGGATGTGTCGAAACATTTGGAGAATCAATTTGTACAGAAAAACGTATTCGGCGATGATCCACAGATCGGCTACTTTTCCCATTATTCCAATATGCAAGTGAATTTGAAAGGGCGGTTGCAACAAGTGCTGGTTTTTGCCCTCATCTGTTCGAACTCCATACAACTACACTGGATTCCCCCAGGATGGCTAATCGATGCTACATACTCCAATCCAGATTGTCAGAGCTGACTGAATCGAACTTCTTATGTACAACGCAATATTCCATTCCGGTGTGTTCCCTTTCGCTCAAATGAATATTTATGCGATTTTGTATTCGGTTGGACAGTTGAACCTGTTCAAACAGCATGCAACTCATTTAACTTTGCTATATGCTTAGGGTGCGGCGTTCTGATGTTAGAATCCTTTAGCCACTGTTGGAGGTGTATATGAGATAAGGGAAATTAAGCGATTCCCCGCAGATTACTGAAGGGAAATTCGTGTGGTCGAAGAAGAAGGATGAATGCGCGCTGGAACTGCTGATCAGTGGGACATGTACCACGCCCCGGCAATCATGTTTGTAAGCAGATCATCAAGAGCAACATGTCGAATTCCGTAATATCCTTATCAAACAAGGAAACGGACTCGCTTTATAAGTGTGCGTTTTGAATTGAGTAGGCGGGACATTTATGACTTGGTTTTGTACGCAATGATGAACCGGATTGAGAGCAATAGCCGACCGATGAGGAGGACAGAATGATAATCTGTTGCTTAGGCTTTTGTCTCTCAAACTATGCGATCCGAGTCCGAGTCCACGTTTCTTCATGAGGCCAAATGATCCCACAGAATCCCAGTCCGCTTGGAGACGCTTACACTAACACCGCAGCAAAACTTTGGTGCATATTTCAAGCGTAGTACCATCCGCTATTTAGAGAACCGGATAACAGAGCCAACGGTAGCTATCTTTTCGATCCGCGGTTGTAATACCCTTAGAACCCTTAAAGCTCGATGCTGTAACCACGATTAGTGGCTAGTTTGGTTTATCATCGCAAATTTGTTTGCTTCACTACCGCGAAGAAATGAGATGTCTACTATCTTTTCATAAGCTCCTCCAGTTAATGCCAGATAAACACATCCCGCACTGACAGCGCCATCTTCTTTCAAATCTTCACTGTTTTTAAGAAGCAACCTAGACTCATCTGGTTGTACTCAGTCTAGTCACATTGATTTGAAGCTGGTATAACCTTAAAAATCGGGCTTGTTGTTGTGATCTCGGTGAGGAAGCGGTATGAAGACGGCTGTAAAACGGTGAGATTGTAGACGAAATACACCAACTGCGAATCTTGGTTAAATGCTGCTTAACGAATCCATCGCAATGAGGCTGGACCTTACCGTGGTGCGATGGTTTGTGTGCCTCAGTGATCCATTGAGCTATACTGGGTGGTGCTTTTGCACCTTCAGAGCCACTCATACCAGATTGGTCAATGGTTAGAGGCCAGACAAAGTCAGCCTCCTGGTCCTCCAGGTTGGGGGTTGGAATGATGGTGGCTCCTTATTCCTTAAAACGGACTCCTTGTAGCCCAGTGCCAAACCTGCTGCCTTGCGGCCAGGTTTTTGAACCAAAGGCTTTGGTTGAGAACCCTAATCGTTCTCCTGTCTAGGTCTGGGCAACCTGACAGTATCCTGCCCACGCAATACAATGAATCTCCCTTCAAACAAATTTCTGATGCTCTGGCCACCGCAGAGGATAATCAACGGTGCCCTATCTGCTGCATCGGGCAGGGTGGATAGGGGTTTGGATGCTACTGCTCAAGCCTTCCCATCTTCTTATTCCCCTTCTTGCGCTTTTTCACCCTTATCGTCCCGTTCCAGCTTCACTTTTATCCCCCCTGTTTTCAACCCTCCAATTCTCGGCCCTCCCCCACCTTGCTTCACTAGTCGCTTGTCTTTTAGTTTCAACTCACAGGTGAACGCGGAGTGTCATTCCTGCACTGTCAACAGGCCCCTGTCCAAGCAAGCGGCCCATTCCGGTTCATCGGCTTCCATTTGGAGCCCTCGATCCTCCTTCAGACTGGCATGCCTCAATGTTCGCACATTGCTTCAGATCGGTCAACAGGCAGCACTTGCCCGAACATTAGAGACCCTCTTCATCGACATCTGCTGCTTATCGGAGACCCGCCTGCAAGACTCGAGCTCTGTACTCACTCTGCGATCCCCTTCAGGTGACACTAGCAGCACTTTCTCATTGCGCCTATCCGGTGACGATGCAGCTTCGAGCACCGGCCAAGCCGGTGTTGGTATTGCCCTGAGTCCCCGGGCTGAAGCTGCTCTGGTTGATTGGATTCCAATCAGTAGCCGGATGTGAGCGGTCCGATTGGCTGGCTCGTTCAAAGCTTCGAAGTCGCGTGGGACTAACAGGTGTCTATTCGTTATCGCTGCCTATGCACCGACAAACTGTAGCGATGACTTGGTAAAAGACGACTTCTATCGCCAACTGAACGAACTCCTTCGCCACAGAAGAAGCTCGGACACTGTAGTGCTGGCTGGGGATCTGAACGCTCAAGTTGGAAAATTATCCACAGATGAGCTGCATCTGGGCGGCCAACATGGTATAGGCTCTCGTAATGATAACGGTGAGCGGTTACTTCATTCGTGTGAGGATGCTCGCTTATTTCTTGCGAGCACTAATTTCCGACACAGCAGTCGCCGGAGGGTGACTTGGCGCCCACCAGCTTCGAACCAGCTATGCACGCAAATCGATCACATTGCTATCAGTTACCGTTGGAGAGGCTGCGTCCAGAACTGTCGCTCGATTTGGAGCACAGGTGTTGACACCGATCATGCACTTGTATGTGCTGACCTGCGGATGCGCTTTGGCGGACGCCCACGACGATGTTGTGAGCGCATTGATACCGGCAGACTGGCGAAGCCAGCTGTTCTGAATGCCTATCAAAGTACGCTGTCATGCGAGTTGGATAAACGCTCACTGAATGCAATTGAAGCTCACTGGTCTCATATGCAACAGGCCTTACTAGCAGCAGGCAAATCCTCATGTGGTATGTCTAATCGCCAACATAGACATTGGGTCTCTTCGCAGTCTCTGGAACTTATAGATGCTCGCCGGCATATTCCGGTTGGAAGCGAACACAATAAAACTCGCAAAGAGCTCCGGGCAAAACTCCGTGCTAGCCTGAAGAGAGACCGCAAATCCTGGTGGTCTCGTCATGCAACAGAGATGGAAATGGCCGCTGCCCTTGGTAACCATCGTGAGTTATTCCGTCTGATACGGGAAACGGGCAGCAGGAGACCTGGTGTTAGTGAAACTATACGTGACGAGAGTGGACAGCCTATCCACAACTTATCAAAACTCCTGGAACGTTGGGCTGAGCACTTTGAAAGGCAATTTAATCGGTCGGAATTGTTAGATTTCTCGCCGACCAGTGATCGCCCTGCTCCGTGGGCTGTTCCTTTGGATCCACCCTCTCGCTCAGAAGTCGAACGTGAGATCGAACTGTTGAAGTTAAATAAAGCCGCGGGACCTGGTGACCTTCCTCCAGCCCTCTTCAAATTCGGGGGACCTGCTCTTGTGGATGATTTACACGAGTTACTAGTCAAACTGTGGGAGCAGGAAACTGTCCCAACCGATTGGAGCCGCTCCATCATAGTCCCAATTTTCAAAGGAGGCTCACGATCGGAATGCGGCAGCCATAGAGGAATCAGTCTGATCTCCATCGCCTCCAAATTGCTTGCCTCTGTCATCCTTCACAGACTGACTGGCACTCGTGAAAGCCAGATTCGTGAAGAGCAAGCTGGATTTCGTCGAGGTCGTGGATGCATTGACCACATCTTCACTTTGCGTCAGTTGTTGGAACACCGTCACACATATTGGCGGCCCACCGTTGTCGTGTTCCTCGATATCAAAGGTGCATTCGATTCGGTGGACAGACATGCACTTTGGGACTGTCTACTCAGGAAAGGTGTACCTGAGAAATATGTGAATATTATCCGAGCATTATATGCGTGTAGCTCGGGCAGAGTGAGGGTTTACGGCAAGTTGTCGTCGCCCTTTAATATCTCCAGCGGCGTGAGACAAGGATGCCCGCTGTCACCTTTCCTCTTCAACTTCGCTGTTGACGAAGTCATGGAAATCGCGTTTACAGGACACGACTTAGAAGGTGTGGAGCTACTCCCAGGAGAACGACTTCTTGATTTAGAGTATGCTGATGATATTGCCCTGATCTGTGACAGCTCCCAGAAGTGTCAAGCGGCACTGGACAGATTAGCACTAGCTGTCCGTCACTTCGGGCTTTGCTTCGCACCCTCGAAGTGCAAAGCGTTTCTCCAAGATTGGTCTGGACCGCCTCCTACGCTGACCCTTGGTGGGGATCAGCTAGAAGTCGTTCAAAAATTCAACTACCTGGGAAGTTGTATCAGCGCCCGTGGGATTGAAGATGAAATCACGAATCGTATAGCAAAAGCTCGGGGCGCTTTTGCTAACCTTCGCCACTTATGGCACCGGCGCGACATCACTCTTGCCTTGAAGGGTAGAGTGTACAATGCAGCAGTACGTTCGACCCTACTGTACGGTTGTGAAACCTGGCCGCTTAAAGCAGCGGACCTGAAGAGGCTAGTTACGTTCGACCACCGGTGCCTTCGTAATTTAGCTCACCTCTGGTGGGAACACCGCGTGACTAACGAGCGTGTTCGACGCCTTGTTTATGGCACAGGAAAAGGAACTGAACCGCTCAGCACCGTTATTTCACGCATCAGGCTCCGATGGCTGGGCCACGTGTTACGCATGCCAGCCCACCGACTCCCGCGACGTGTGTTGTTTGCGCGCCGGGGGTGTGGATGGAAGAAGAGGAGGGGTGGCCAAGCGATGACTTGGTCCAGAGGAATGAAGGCCCTCACTTCTGAGCTGGCCTCGGTTGGAGCGTCTCGGCTCCCTGGTTGGGGTCCGAAAGACGATGAACACGTTTGGTTGGACACACTTGCTGATATGGTTAGGAGCCGACCTCAGTGGCGTTCGTGCTGTGAGTTTCTTTGTCCCACCCCATCCCTCTTAGCCTCCCCCTCCAACCACGATCTCATTATTTAGCCTTATATAATTTTGCATAGTAATATTTTTGATGCACAGCAGCCGGCTGGTAGCTTACCGGAACGATGCCCATCCGTTACCGGTAGCTCAGCCAGCTTTCACCAGTTGTTTTCTTTTTCTCTCTCATTTATTTTCTTCTTTGTATTGCGGCACAGTAGCTGGGGTGTTCCCCACCTCTAGCTAACGTGTATGATGATGTATATAACGATTTTGAATGTAGCCAAAGTCTGTCGTCATTTCTATGACTGCCTTTGAAGTACCACTTTTAACACAGACAGGACGCAAATAGGCACTAGTCTCTA